AAATTATATAAACATGAAATCTGTCAAAATCAGCTGATTTCAATAATTTGTATTAGATTTCTTAACTAAATGTTGTTTATTTAGTTTGATAATTCAAATTCATTTTCATGTTTAAAAATTATCAACAATATATGAAATTTAAAGTAATTAAGACTAAATATTTTTAGTTTAGATTTTTATAAAGGATTGGATTAAGACAATTTTTATATATATATTTCAGAATGTTTATTTATTTTCAAGTCATCTAAATCATATTTATGTCTACATGTCGAAATGGATTAAATCATATATATGTTTTTAAACTGCGATTCGATTCATCTCTTTATTTCCTGTTGTCGTTGAGGAGTTGGAGTGGGCCGAAGTCCTGACCTGCAGTCTGACAGTTTTCGGTCTCAGCTAAAATTCTAATCTGATTCTGAAACAACAACAAAAAAAATGAAACAACAACAAAAATGATCTAAATATGAATTGAAAATTGTTTTTTGATGTAATTTAGTATGCTTTACTTATTGACTAGTAACTAAAGGTGTAAAGAAATATGAAAAATTGGACTTACGACCAAAAGTTTGTAGAGAGCAGAGGCGGACTTCAGTGCGGCCCTGATTTCTTGAGATTGGAAGGCCCTTTTGCCGCCTGGTCTCCAGTCGGTGGAGAAGGTCACCTGACCAGAGCACTGCATCAAGCAGGAGGCGACGAGGAGAACGGCTCCGATCAAAATCCATTTGCTGTGAAAGTAAACAAACAAATATTTTTACAAAATTTTCATTTATTTATACAATTCGGTTTCGCTTTACCTTTGAACCATATTCTTGCAGCTCTTATACACGAATTACTGGAAAATGCTGTAGTTGAGGTGGATGGATCTCGATGAACTGATACTGTAAGCAGCTTAAACGGTCACTTTTATAGGTCTCCGAGCTCGGATTCCGCGCAGGGCTGGACGAAGATGTCCAGGAGAATCGAATTTATATGTACATAGAAATATTATTATGATGTAAAAGTTCTCGACGGAATTTGCATTCCATGCATTCGAAATGTAATGGGAGTGGGCAGATGAAAAGTTTCTTTTGATTCGTAAAAGGTCTTCTTTTTTTTTCTTCTACTTCCCATCTGTATCCACACCGCAGCAGAGAACACCAAACGTTTCTGCAAATATTTTACATGAAAACACACGCACGTAGAGCTGAAATGCAAAGAAAACATTTCTGTTTGAACATTATTCAACGTTTCATATTTTCGTTGGCTTTCGATATGTGTAAACACATACATTTTTCTTCACTTTTTGCAATTGTTGCTGCATTAAGAAGTGGTTATGAAAACGTAAGATGAGTGACGTTCAAAAACGTCAAAATTTTATTTATAAACATAAGCCCTGTCAAAATCAGCTGATTTTATATGTAATGATTAAAATTAAGCAATTTAAATGAGATTTATAACAAAA